CCTTCAGTATTTTATATATGTCATCCCATTGCCTTCTTGCCTGCATGGTTTCTGCTGAGTAATCAGAACTAGCATAACTGCTTATCCATTGTGGGTAACATTTCTGTTTTCCTGGGCTGCTCACAAAATTCTTTCTTTGTCTTTGGTTTTGGAGAGTTTGATTATGATACGTCTTGGTGGCTTTGTCTTGGGATCTATCTTGCATGGGGTTTGTTGAGCTTCTTGGACCAATATCTTTTCTTTCTTCATCATATGGGGGAAATTTTCTCTTAGCAAGTCTTCCACAATTTTCCTAGGTTTTTTTTTTTTTTTTTCCCTCTTTTTGTTCCAGTATTCCAATGAGGCATATGTTGTTTCTCTTCATGTCATCCCATATAACTCTTAGGTTCTCTTCATTTCTCTTCAATCTCTGATTTTTCTTCATACAGGCTGGTGTCAAGGGATTTATCTTCTACTTGCAAAATGCGTTCTTCAGCCAGTTCTAGCCTATTCTTCTGTGCTTCCATTATGTTGTATAATTTTGTAATTTTAGTATTCATCTTCTGGATTTCTAATTGCTGTTTTTTTATGAGTTCTGATTGAGTATTAATCTTGTTATTTTGTCCTTGAATGGTTTTCTTGAGTCCTTCCAGGTTACTGTGTTTGTTCTTAGTTTTGTTTGAGGTTTCCTTAAGCTATTGTTTAGTTCTATAAACATAACTTCTAAATTCCTTCTCGGATAATTCTATTGCCTCCTCTTCCTCCATGTTTAATGAGATTTTTGTCTGGGATTTTATTTCTATTTTCTTAGCCTGTTTGTTTATTTGTTTGAGGTTGTCTGTTGTTTCCTAGACATTCTGAAGTTGTTGTCTTTAACTGTTAGCTATGTATTGATTTGTTTTACCTTGATTTTATGTTTAAATACTTTTTCAAGGGTGGATGTGGTGTATTTTATTTTTTGGTTATTAATTCAGGTGTGTTGGATTGCTCTGCAATTTTCTTTGTGATGATGGAATCACTGTGGGGAATGTCGATGCAGGTTTCTGTTCATCATGAACTGGAATTAGAGTTGGGATGAGGAGGTGTTGTGGTGGCTTAATGTGGTTCTCCTTTTGTGTGAGGCAAGGTAGAAGGGAAAAAAAAGGAAGAAAAAAA